CAGTGACTGTTTTTGAAGCTTTTCACTTACCCTGTCTTGGTGTTCCTAATTGGTCAGTTGGTTAGTTGCTCTTTCAAGATACCAGTGGCTGAAATACCCAAAATACCCATCGTTTCAGGAACCATAATGAAAATATCCCCTCATTAACTGTTTGATGCAGATGGAAAACATTGCTTAACATGGCACCCATGTTGAGATCTGTTGACCTGTCAAGGCCAGAGTATCCGAATCACATGCTTTTCATACTTTCAGAGATCTATCGGGCCCTTGCGTGGACACATCCGCACTCACCCCGTGCTGCTCTTTGTGTTATCCTGGACATAAAGACGATTATTTTAAGAAGTAGCGAGGAAATGATGTAGGAAGGAAGGAACAGAGACATGACGGGCGATTAAAAACAGCGCCGCAGATTACTTTTTGATAGTGTGCGTGGAGCAGGGAGGCGACAGCCAAGATGGATATTTGATTGGCTAATGCGTCGAGGCGGGTTGCCACAGAGGGCATCCCGTTCTGGCCCCGCTCGCTCGCCCGCTCTCCCTTTCTCTTTTCGCTCGCCCTCTCGTTTTCTCTCAGCCTTGACGGAACAAGACCACCCATTGGGGACGTCTCTGATCAATGCAGTCATTATCCTTTCTGCACACACACACACACACACACAGACGTAGAGGACAAATGAGGAAGAGATGTGCTATGACTAGGTCAGAGCAGCAGCAAATTTAAATGTGTCCAGTGAAATATGCTGGAGAATGTCGCACCATTAGCCAGCCTGCCGAGCGAGCCGACTCTCTGGCCTCAGGTGCAATAACAAGTGGAGATTTAGGTTTGCCTTTCTTCTTGGCTTGCTCTCTTCTTGTTTTTCCCTTACTGTGGCTTCTTATCCTTCTTTCATTTGTTCTTGGACAAAACAATTTGATTCTCACTTCCTGTGTGTACCTTTGTACATATTTTCATGTACCTGTTACCCACATATGATTTAATCTCTACCAGTGTGTGTGTGTCTGTGTGTGTGTTCCCATCTGTACATATGCCGAGCGCGCTCAGTCCCAGAGGAATAGCAGCGATCAGAGTAGAGCAGTGTAATGATTCCTGTCTGTTAGCTCTGCACCACCTGTATGCACACCAGTGTTTGCCGACTCGACATAGCTGTTTGCCGTTTCTTAATGGCTTCGCCCAGCGGCAATACTCTGGGAGTTTAACAACAGCGAGCGGGGGAGAGAGTAAGAGGGGAAAAAAGGATGTTGTGGTGGAGAAGCCAGAATCAAATTGAATAAGCATGAGATTTTTGAAGATGAAAGAGATGAAAAGAGGTGGATGGAGGTGCCAGAGAGATCCTGATGGGGGCACTGAAGGACCTGTTATGATTTAATTTCCCCAGAGTGCTCGGGTTTTGAAAGCAGAGGACACGGCACCGTCTGAAATGCTCAAAAGATCTATTTGCGAGAACTCCGTGGGATGACTGAGTTTATGGAAAAATACAAATTAAATCCATTCTGCATGGCGGCAGGTTGCTCTTGTTGGTCTTACAAACACCTACTATGGAGTGAATACAGTTTACAGAGTGAAAGTGATGCCCCGCACGCATCGCTCCTCCGAGATGCACAATTTCGCTTTCAGAAATAATGACCACCTGCATGACGAATATGCTCTGGCAGGATACAGTATGAGAGTAAACACCACAGATAAGAGACCGCATGCACAAGTTGGATGTCTGCTTCTGAGTGTGGGTTGGAAAAGGCAAAAACCAGGCTGCAGTTATGGTGATAGAAGAAGGAAATGTTAAACAAGCATGCAGTGCCCACCGTAGATGCACAGACATGCACACCTACCTTAAGTGACTGCATAAAGAGTATTTTAAGACGAGTAAATGCAGAAGCTCTGTCCAGATGATCATGTTGTGCAGTCATAGCCAGGTTCTTATTACAGTTAACAACCTTGCTGTGAGTCTTACACTGGCTAGACATGCATGCTTTATACCACATTTCCTCTTTTTAACAGAATAGATGGTTGCAGTGTGGCTATCATCTGCACAGGTCACCCACTAAACCAATATAATACTGTTAGGGGATGAAACCTTTGTAAAAAAAAAAAAAAAAAAAGAAAGAAAGAAAATCAAAGTTCTAGTAATACTGCTGGAGGCCTCGAACTCATCACCCCATCATTGCACTCATGGGACTGAGGTTGTCAGCATGCTTCAAACGAAGCAGCTGCTGAATTGTTAAGGTGCCTGAAATGTGCCTCCCCTCACACTTCTGTGATACTGGGACAATCGATATTTATGACTTTCTTTTTTTTTTTTAAATTACAACCCACCGAGCACAACCTCTTCACAAAAGCAGTTTCCAAGTATGCAAAAAATGGGAATGAAAGCAAGCTTTTCTTCTGTGGGTCTGTCTTAGTATGCACATCCAAGTGCATCACCTGTTGCTAAGGCACTTTTCGTGTGTGGCAAACGCTTCTGCCGTGTTTGTATCTGTAATTTGGAGGGAAGATACTCTACATGGTCTATTTATGGGAGCACACGTTCCATGTGCTGAAAACCACAAACACTGGAGGTCAAAACACTTGCTAACACAATATGCATCTACAGAATGTATATAAAAGAAGGATATAGCCATCGTGGCAACATCAATTGGCATTACATTAGAGCAGCGGTCCCCAATCTTTTTTGTGCCACGAATCGGTTTATGTATGACAATATTTTCATGGACCAGCCTTTATGGTGTCGCGGATGAATACAACAAAGTAAAACCAGTACCGGTACCAAAAAAAAAAAGAACATTTATTCATAACACACGGGGAAAGACACAGGCATCGTCTGTTGTCTTCATCTCCATTATCAGTCATCATAATTTTACCATCTCTGTGCAAGTCTGCAAATTTCTTTATTAAAATCATAAGATTCTTAAATCTTATGATTTATTTATATAATCAAGTCTCTCTGTGCCTGGGTCCTCGTCACAAAACATGACATCACTGTTTTGTACATTTTAACACAATTTAATCCCCACATTTGTGAAAGAAAAACAAAACACTTTTTTGAAAAGTCTGTAACAAAACCATCAAATCTGATAAAGGTTATTTAAATGCTGCTAAAGAAGAATGGATTGGAATTTGAAAAAAAATACATATCCTAACCTTAATTACTGGAGGAGAATAATGAATGATGCTCACAGTGAGTAAATAGTAAACTGAGTGCATTTTCTGGACAGAGATTCACTTTTAATGTGTATGTATAACATAATACAGATACATAAAAAATACAATCCAAAAATAGAAGAGTCCTTGAAATGTACAAATGTACAAAATACTATAAAAAAAATTAGAAAAATTGAGACACCTTGGCCTCTGGTACAATGTATACAATGTATGAAAAGATCTTTACTGCAGATGCTACTATGGCTTTGCAGATCTTTTTCTTTTCTTTTAACCTGAGGTTGGTAAATCTGTCTATCACATTTTGGTGGTCAAGTCTCTCAAGCATCTCTTTCTCAACTGACATCACAGCCAGGTGCTGGAGTCTGCTTTGACCCATGGTCCTTCTCAGCCAGGTATGGAGCTGACTCAAGACACTAAAAGACCTTTCACAGCTACAGTTGCTAACTGGGTTTGTTAGGGCAACCTGAATAACAGTTTTCAGTGTGGGGAAGATCTGATTATCCAGAAGATTGTACAATGTTAACATATCTGGAATGGCACCAGCCTCACTCTTGAGCTTCAAAACGTTTTTGGCAACCGTGACTTCCTCTGACTGAAGCTCAATATGGTATGCAGTGCCAGGGCTGACAACCCAGTTTGTTTAGCAGATTCTGTATAGCAGCTTTAATATAGGGAGAACACAACTTCTAGATTGTACGAGTAAAATTAGTTGGGTTTTTTTCTTTGCCAGTTTAACCGTTTCTGTTTTGCCTGTTTTGGGGGTGCTTTGCACTTTTTAGCACTTCTATGTTGGCTTTATTTTTCTTCCCTGGACATCCCCCCGTGTACTGTATGGTGAGAGCTGAAATGTAGACAAAATACCTTTTATCTAGCATTACATTAGATCAGGGGTGGGCAACTCCAGGCCTCGAGGGCCGGTGCCCTGCAGGTTTTAGATCTCACCCTGGGTCAACATACCTGAATCAAATGATTAGTTCATTAGCAGGCCTCTGGAGAACTTCAACATATGTTGAGGAGGTAATTTAGCCATCTGAATCAGCTGTGTTGGATCAAGAACACATCTAAAACCTGCAGGATACCAGCACTCGAGGCCTGGAGTTGCCTACCCCTGCATTAGATTCTGAGGTTTGAGGGAATTGTTTCTAGTTAGCTATTAGAAGGCTGCACTCTAATTAACTAACGCACTTATAAATATAACAAGGATAAATACAGCGATATGAATTTTCCATATCCTACAAAAAATTGTTGAGCAAATTGAATGTAC